CAATAAAATGTGGTGGCAAGAGGAAAATAATGCGACACAGTCCCTCTTGTTAAAGTAGTAAGGGAAAGAGGAACTCTATAACTGAAACATAATGGCTAAGTCTTTAAAATATGAGGCATGAGGGGAACACAGAAGACAAAGTCGTAGTAGGCCCTGGGTGAGACGAGGTTGGTGTGAGAGAGGAAAGGTGCTTCTAGGCAGAGGAACAACACATTTGAAGACAGAAGAGACTGAAGCAGCATAGTTTTTAGGGAGCTAAAAATGGAAGCTAAAGAGGTCACACCCAGGTGTGGGTTGAGAGACAAGGCTGGGCAGGTAAGCAAGGAAGGTATGTGTGAAGGTCACTTGCCATGCTAAAGCATTTGGGCATTTTTTAAATTGTCCAATGGGAAGCTTAAAGACTTAAATAAGAAAAACTGTTAATTCGATTTTGCATTTTTGAAACACAATGATAGCAAGAGTTGTAAGGCCAGATTGTATATATGAGTGAGTGTTTTCAGGGCCTTGGGTGCATTTAAGACATGTTGGCCAAACAGAGTATATGTGAGTGATTCTACTGAGAAATGACACAGCCCCGAACTATGAGAAGAAATGGGGGATGCAGAAGGTAAGATGGTGTGAAATATGAAAAAAGGTTCAGAATGAACATCTGGATCCTGACATGGGCTTTCAGGTAGCTGGTGATGCTTATAACTTTATACAGAAGGGTGGATTGGGTTGGGAGAGAATAGGTCCATTTCATTCTTGTTCAGTTTGAGCAAGCACTGGAACATTCACACAGGCAGACAGAAGACGTGCTCACCAAAAGCATTTTTGCTTCATGTTGGGATATCAGGATGGATATGCATGGACTAATCAATGTACTTTGATGATAGCTATAGAAAAATGGAATGAGCAATAAATGAAGTCATCATATAGACAGCACAGTATGGAAGGTAAGAACATGGACCCTAGAGCTACAGTGCTTAAATTCAATCTTCATCCTTATAACTTAGCAACTGTTCAGGCTTGAGCAAATTAGTTAGCTTCTCTGAGTCTCAGTATTATCTTTAAAATGAGGACAATAGTAGTACCCACTACAACCCTGTTATCAACAGTGAATAAATTATACCTTTGAAGTGTCTGGATCAGTGGGTGACACAAACCTAAGTAATAGTATTGTTAGAGATTTTTCTAACAAATGAGAAGGACCAGGAAATATTTTTGGTGGGAGAAAACAAAAGCTCTAAGAAGAGCCTTATAGAGCCTCATCATTTAAAAGTGGACAAACACATTGGCAAAGAAGAAAGGATAAAACATGGAGACCAAAAGAATGGACAAAAAAGCCCAGAGAGAATGACGTTATTGAAGCCAATGGAGAAAAGATTTTCTGAGCGTGTTTAACACGGGCAAATGTGGATATGCGATTCAATTAAGGTTAACAATTAAGAGTGTCTTTGGATTTATCAACATTAATATTTCCAGTGATGTGAGCCTATTTTTAGCAAACGGATCCTGATCGTCAGCTCAGAATGAATAAAGGACAAAGATGTGAAAGTACTTTCTCTGCGGTACCCTTTTAGGAACCTTGGCAATATGCGGATTGGGGTGGGGACAGATGCGGCTGGAGGGAAAAGGAAGGGTGAGGGAGTATTTCTGTTATTGTTATTGGTATTTTTGTTGTTTTTAGTGTTGGAGAGATGTAACTATGCTTGCAACGGAAGAGGGAAATAAGCTTGAACAAACATGAAAGAGAATATATCAATCCCTTTTAGGAAACTTGGCAATGTGGTGGCGTGGGGGAATCGGTGTGGCTGGTGTGTATTTCTGTTATTACTATTGGTAATCTTTGTTGTTTTTAGTGTGTGAGGGATGTAACTATGCTTGCAAGGGAAGAGGAAAATAAGCTTGAACATATGTGAAAGAGAATGTATCAAGCCAGATTCCTGATAAGATAGAAAAAAGAATTTTCTTTGCTTTCAATGAGAGCAGAATAAAAAAAATGCCTCAAACAGCTCCTTTGCTTACACTATTCCACTCTAACCCCAGTTCCTGAGAAGGTCCTAAAAGGCCTCACAGTCGATGTTTTTGTATTGATGCTGGCTTACTATCTGATGCCAGTCATAGGCCAATCTATATTTTGCCTCTCCCTATAATCCCACAGCTCTAGCCTGCACTGCCCAATTCAGTAGCCATGAGCTCCATGTGGCTATGTACATTGAAATTTAATTTAAAAAATCAGGTTCTCCATTGTGCTAGCCACATTTAAAGTGCACATGTGGCTAGTGGTTTCTGCATTAGGAAGCATACATACAGAACATTTTCCTTATAACTAAGGTTCCTTGGACAGTGTTTTTCTAGATGATGAAATAAACGCCATTTCTCTTACTGGGGTTTGTCACATGTGAGGACCCCCTGATGCTGCTCATATCATTACTCTATTGACCTTGAACCCCGAGCAGGGTCCTTGCTACCTGGCCTTCCCACTGTGCTCATGGTCTTTCATTAGTTCTCTCTGTGGGACTCCTGTGTCTTTTAATCTTTCACAGCACCCTACGTTCCCATGATTCTCTCTGAAATTTTCTTTTTATTGGCCACAGCTGCCTCCCTTGAAGAACTTTGTAAACACCCTCTTGCCCACTGACCTTGGAGATATTATGCTGAACTGCTCTCTTTGTCGAACCCTGCAGTCCGCCATCTGTTTAGACTCACTTTCTCTTCGGAACCTTCCCTTGTGCTCCTCCAGTTTTAAGTCAAAGGCTGCCAGCAAAGTTCAGCACGTGAACATTGGATTCTGATGGACCAGTTGGTACAGCATTTTACGTGTGTAACATGAACAGCGTTCTTAACCTTTTAGAACCTCACTGATTTCATCAGTGAATTGGGAACCAAAACAGCATCTGCTTCCATGGGTATTATGCGGGTTACATGACACAAATTTGCCAGGTTTGTAGTGTGATCCATGCTAAACTGCACACTGTGTATTCTTTCTTCTTCCCTTCCCCCCTCCCTCTCCCTTCCCCTCTTTTTATTTTCTTAAAGTAATTTCAATTTTTATTTTAGATTCAATGGGTCCATGTGCAGGTTCGTTACATAGAGATATTGTACAATGCCGAGGTTTGGATATGAATAGTCCTGTCATTCGGCTGGAGAGGATAGTACCCAACAGTTAGTTTTATAACCCTTGCCCCCTCCCACCCATTCTCTTTTTTTTTTTTTTTTTTTTGCTCGATTTCTGTCTTGAGTATGTTCCCAAAGACTCAAGGAGTCAGAGGTTATATTTGATTGTGAGTACAGAAGCCCTGTAAATATTCATGCACTCATACGTTTGTTGCAGCCAGTATTCACAAGAGCAAAGTCATGGAATCAACCTAAATGCCCATCAATGATAGACTAGATAAAGAAAATATGATACATATACACCATGGAATACTGTGCCACAAACAAAGAACAAGATCATGTCATTTGCAGGGACTTGGTTGGAGCTAGAGGCCATTATCCTTAGCAAATGAATGGAGGAACAGAAAAACAAAGCCACATGTCCACATGTGCTCCTTTACAAGTGGGAGCCAAACGATGAGAACACATGGACACATGGAGGGGAAAAACACACACTGAAGCCTTTTGGAAGGTGGAGCGTGGGAGAGAGAGAACACAAAAAATAACTAACAGTTAGTAGGTTTAATACCTGGGTGATGAAATAATCTGTGCATCAAACCCCCATGACCCGAGGTTACCTATGTTACAAACTGCACAAGTACTTCTGAACTTAAAAAGAAAAAGAAATTCTTATTAGTCATCCAGAAGTGTCTGAACAACCATACTAGAAATCAAGTAGTCCTCATTCCTGCTTCCAGTTGCAGGTACTCACTCCACACTTGCAATTTAAGCTGCTGTTTGCTATATTCACTGGTGTAGGCTCAACCGTGGATAACCTATCACTTGATTTCAACTGTGTTTCTGTCTGAATATAATCTTTACTAACGCCTCTGGAATCAACAACCATTCATGTAATTTTCAAATTTATACAACCAATAGCCCTGCAGTTAGTTCCTTTCCACAGTTCTGACTTTGCATATGTTCAAGTCAGAATATTCTTTTTATCACTGAGTATAATACAATTGCATAAAAAACATATTTCAGGCCAAGTGTGGTGGCTCACACCTGTAATCCCAACACTTTGGGAGGCCAAGGCAGGCAGATCATTTGAGGTCAGGAATGCAAGGTCAGCCTGGCCAACATGGTAAAATCCCTTTTCTACTAAAAATATAAAAATTAGCTTGGCATGGTGGCACACGCCTGTAATCCCAGCCACCCTGAAGGCTGAGGTAGGAGAATTGCTTGAAAATGGGAGACGGAAGTTGCAGTGAGCCAAGATTACACCACTGTACTCCAGCCTGGGCGACAGAGTGAGACTCCATCTCAAAACAAACAAACAAACAAACAAATTTCATAGAAGATCAAGAGATACTCTTTTGTAATAATTTGCCTTCTTAAATGTCTTTTCCTTTTTCATATTCATGGTTTTCATTTTTAAGCTAAGTAAATCTACACGACTTTAAAAATATTTATTTGAACATACACATACACATTTGTCGATGTATTTATATATCATAATCTGGAAATGGTGAATATTTCTGCTCATTTTTAACCTTTTCACATTTTATGGTTTTATTTAGTCTTGTAATTGCATTTCATGCTATTTAAAAAGAAAATATTAAGAAAAAAGTGTATAGCTCAAAGACAGCTCGACGTATTAATCACTCTCTAACTTGAAGACCCTGTGAGTAATGTCAAAACTCATCGCATCATAAATACTCTTATTGTAATGTGAACGTAAATATTGCAGGTAAAGTCATGACTCTTGAATAAGGCACCCTGTGAAGAATGTTCAAAGACCTACCATGCTCTAAGGGTAAGCAATGTCAGGGCTAGAGTTATGAACATCTGTTTGGAACAGTTTTCCAGTAAGAACAGTTCGTTTTATGAGGGAAAAGCTGAAGAAAACATCAAGTGCTTACCATTACATCATGCTACAGACTTTCTACACCTCCGTCAGGAACAAGATTATATGAGCTTACCTCCCCCTGCCCGCATAAACTATCAATAAAACCTCCCCCATGTCATGCACACGACGGACATTCCTGGAGGTTCTACATTGAAAGGACAGCTCAGCCAGACCCGTGCTGGAAATTGTATTTAAATTGTATCTCTAAATACACTTTTAAAGTTAAATCTGTACCGTGTAGGCCCCCGTTAAGCAGTCTGTGTTAGAGTAAGGAGAAAGCAAAACAAATCAAATAAAAATAAAAATAAAAAATCCTAAATTGATACAATCCACAAAGCAGTTTGGAAGGGATATGGTTTTCAGAACCATTAATCACATTACGTAGGGCTTGCTTTTATCCCTTGCAAAATTCCAAAAGGAGAATTTCTCCAAAGCAACGTATAACTAACAAAAGAAGTATCAGACAAGAAAGCAATCTCCTTTTCAGTGACATATTGATTCTGTGAGAGCAAGGCCACCTAATCAGCACTCTAAGTAGGATAGAGAGTTTGGTAGCAAAGACACAGGATTTGAAGTTCTGATTCTAACACTCTTAGTTATGTGCCCACTGGAGTCATTTAAATTGGCTTAAACTCATTTTCATTATCTAGAAACAAACAAACAGGCAAAAAGCCAGGACCACTATGAGACTTGAGCAGTAGGACTATTTTATTTTGGGGCCCAAATGACATATGCCTTTAGATGTGCTTTGTGAAATGTGAAACATTATGAAATGATTGCTTTGTGGTTTCTAAAAACAGTTGCAGGAAAAACGAATAAAAGTTCTTGAACAATAACTAATCCTGCATTTTGTATCCAGGTTTCATTTAAATAAACGTTAAATAGTAGGTATTTTAAATAGTTAAAATATTAAATAAAATATTGAGATATTTTACAGGATTTTGCAGTTACTAAAAAGGGATCTACTTTTATAGTTTTCCCTTAAATGACCTATTATAATCCAAAAATTTATATATATATATACATATACATTTTTTCTTTTTTTTTGAGACGGATTCTTACTCTGTCACCCAGTCTGGAGGGCAGTGGTGTGATCTCGGCTCACTGCAGCCTCCCCCTCTAGGGTTCAAGCAATTCTTCTGCCTCAGCCTCCTGAATACCTGGGACTGCAGGAGTGCGCCACCAAGCCTGGTTGATTTTTACATTTTTAGCAGAGACGGGATTTCACCATGTTAGTCAGGCTGATCTCAAACTCCTGACCTTGTGATCCGCCCACCTCAGCTTCCCAATGTGCTGGGATTACAGGTGTGAGCCACCGTGCTGGGCCAATTTTTTAATTTTATATAGTGTCAAAACCTGGGGCCGCACATGATACAAATTTCTAAATTCTGTTCTACAAAATTGCCATACTTCTCTTTCACTCAATACTGCCTGATAACCCCAAAACGGAAAGGACTCAACATGACACAGTGTGGGAACACAACCGACTGCCTTCCAAACACAAGGTTTTCATCAGCAGCGCTCCTCTTTAACACAATAGAGAAACACTTAGAAACAACTAAACAAAAATAAATAAATGATTGCACAACATGGTGACAGCTGTACAGTTGATGACAATATACTGTATTCTTGACAACTGCCAAAAGAGTAGATTTTAAGTGTTCTCACCACAAAAAAATGGTAAGTATGTGAGGCACTGCATATGTTAATTAGCTTGACTTGGCCATTTCACAAGGTATACATATTTCAAAACATGCACATGATAGATATATTTAAGTTTTGTCAACTAAATATTAAGTAGAGGATATTACCATTTCTCATATCAAGGCTCTATCACATGTAAGTGGATTCCTTCCGAAGTATGTTTGCTCTCATAAGCTCATGCATATTGTTATTCTAAAAACAGATGAGCTCTTTTAATAATCTGCCAAATTTATTTTAACACAGTAAGTAGGCCTTCAGATTGCATCTGACTTGACGCTTTTTTGTACAGTAAGTACTCAACATCATCCATAGATTCTTAGAAATTGTGACTTTAAGTGAAAGATATACAGCAAGTCCTCAAATAACATTGTTTTCTTCAACATCAGCTTCTATAAGGTTGAAGAAAAAAAAGGTTTTGTTATGTTCCATTTCACTTAAAGTGAAGCCGTTTCCAAGAACACACCAGCATCGTTAAGTCAGGAATTCCTGTAGTCTTATCTATTCCGTCCCCACAGTCTAGCCACCAGCTACATGTTGCTCTTTATATTTAAATTAAAAAAAATTAAAATCGGCCGGGCGCCGCGGCTCAAGCCTGTAATCCCAGCACTGTGGGAGGCCGAGGCGGGTGGATCACGAGGTCAAGAGATCGAGACCATCCTGGTCAACATGGTGAAACCCCGTCTCTACTAAAAATACAAAAAATTAGCTGGGCATGGTGGCACGTGCCTGTAATCCCAGCAACTCAGGAAGCTGAGGCAGGAGAATTGCCTGAACCCAGGAGCGGAGGTTGCGGTGAGCCGAGATCGCACCATTGCACTCCAGCCTGGGTAACAAGAGCGAAACTCCGTCCCAAAAAAAAAAAAAAAAAAAAAAATTAAAATCAAATGAAAAATTCAGTGTCTGAGTCACAGTATCAATATCTTAAGTGCTAAATAGTCATCCACATGGCTATTGCTACCATATTAATTACTGATTCATTAGATACCACACCATCTAACGCTGCCGTATTAATTTCTGATAGGAACATTTCCTTCATTACAGGAAGTTCCATTGGACTGTGCTGGTTTAGCTTCTTTCTACTTAGTCCATGACAACTTCATGTTAAGAAAGAGTAAGATAAATAAGTATAAAAAAGCCATTCATAGGAATCGAGTTGAGATCTGCAAATGACTGGAAAAACCAAGGGTTTGGCCCAGATTTCTGCCTTCCTGTGAGTGAGATCATGTAATTCTTTACAAGGTGAAGTAACTCAGACCCAAAACCACCAGGGGACAGGTTCAAGTTTATACAAAAAGGGTGTCAGACCAAAGTTTTGAAACTTGGTTCATGTTTTTCCTATTGCAACGCTTCTTTTACAACGTCACACTATTTCTTCTCATTCACTATATACCTGTAAAGGACAAAATGCAACAGGCTGCAATTTTATTGACTTTGACAATAATGCTTTGTGAAATTTAAAGTCAGTTAGAGCATGTCTATAAAAGGACATTCATGATAAAGCCGTAAGCAAAAATACCATCCCATTTTCATATATAATTCAGGAAAAAATAATTGCTAAAATTGTTGAGTGGCTATGTTCTATGTACAGCAACACGCACTTCAGGCACATCATTTTATTATCACACTAAACAACTCCAATAAATTGGTATTATGATGCCAATTTTATCGATGAAGAATCTGAAACTTAAGTAACAAATGTCTCAAGACTGAAATCCAGGTGTGTTTGACTCTAAAATCCATATCCCCAATAGGAGTTATCTACCCATAATCCCCTGTGAAGCATGAGCTTTAGAAAATGTTCTAGCTTTTCACTCAGCTTTAACATTGCATGAAGGTTTGGTTTGTGAGAGAGACAGAGAGTGTGCGTATGTGTGTATTTGTGAAAGAGATAGAACACATTTTTCATAGTGCTCAAATATTTTGGCTCAAATTTTCATTTTCATAGACTTATTTCAAGGGGAATTAATTCATGTAATAAAGATAACAGAGGAGAAAAGAGTGAAGAAGTAAAAGAACAAGAACTTACTAGTTTATTTAGGATAGATTTATCACATATATAGAGCACACAGTTTCTCACTAGTACCTCTGCTCTCACTCTCTGTCTCTCTTTACATATTCATTCTAAGAAAAAGGAGTGCAAGTTTTAAATTGTGGGGTAATATTTATGTACAGTAAGAGAGATTTGGACTTATGATTAGCAACATGAACATATTCATTTTTTCATTCATAAACAAAACCATGGAAACATATTTATTGAGTGCTTCTTATGTTATAGAAATTGTGCCAAGTTTTAGGAATATAAAAATAAATTCAATAGCATCCATGGACTAAAAGGCATATCTAGCTTTAAGATAAATAATGAATCTAAACAATCCCAAACCAAATGAAAACAACACAGTAAAAACCCTTGAAATAAAAGACTTTCTGGGACAAGTATCTGACGAAAGATTACAACCGGAATATGGACCACCATGCTGTTTGTCTAAATAAATATTCATTCTACTGAAAAAGTCGCTGGTAGAAGAGGAAATAAATGACTATTCATTTCAAATGAGTGTCTTATTCTATCCTGGCTCTCCCTGGGTAAATGGAGGGGAATCTCCGTGAAATGGCAAAGCCCTTTGTTCCAGGTGTTTCTTACATGTACTACCTAACGAGCAGTTTCTTTTCGGTACATAAATGATCAAATTCCAATCTCATCCTATCTTGAAACATGTAATAAAACAGATACATATGTTAGCAGGTATCCAAACACATTGGGTAGGACTATCGATATTCTGAGTATAAAAATGTTAACACAGCACTATGAAAATACAAATAACTTTGCATTTTAATGAAATTCTTTTATGTTAAATGTTCACAGGCTGAAAAGTTGTCTCCAACTTGATTCAAGCAACAAATGGGACATATGAATAGGAGATATGTGCCCATCAACATTCTTATTTCTAGACCAACTGAAAGCTGACTATGTTTATATTGCTTTCCAGATGACCACCAAGATAATTTACTCCTTTAGAATGATTTTTTTATACTCATGTATCCTTAAATTGAAAAATGCTGAAAGACTTGATACTTTCAAACCATATGTGATCCATGCATTGCTATGTAGGCAATAGAGACATTCCTTTAGCACCTGATTAGCAGGTGCTATGGTTTGAATATGTTCCCCAAAGTTCCTGTGTTGGAAAGTTAACTCCCAATTTGACAGTGTTGACAGCTGAAATCTTTAAGGGGTGATTAGAATGGATTAATGTCATTATCACAGAGGTGGGTTCTTACTGAGAGAATGGGCTTGTTATAAAAGTTAGTTCATCCTGCTCTTTCTCTTTTGCTCTCTTGTCCTTCCTCAATTCA